AATAGTTTTAACAGTTTTACAGATGTTATCGCGGGCCGCCAGAAATGTTTCGGCGGGCCGCCATTGGCCCGCGGGCCGCACTTTGAGAACCTATGAAGTAAGGGAATAATGTACATCCAGCCGGTTGTAACCGACAGGGTGATTAGGGGTTTATTCTGAGATGACAACCGGCCAGATGTACATTATCCCGCTTATTACACGGCTACTTGCCACATAAGTAAATAATTAGACACGAAATATTGATCGGAGTCGAAATATTTTATTGGGTCTTTAAATGCAAAGCTTCCTCAAAGAAAGCAGTTGAAAGACATTTAAGGAATACGGTACAGTCATACCACTTATTACACGGCATTTCGCGACATAAGTAATTATGGGGATCAGAGATTTTGATTTGAGATTAAACTGTTTTAAAATCGTACCTATCGTCTTATAATCGAACCGCATGCATAACAATAGTCGCAAAATGGCAGCAGCTGCTTTGTATGAGACGAGAAAGCGAGTCCATGATACTGGATAACATAGTCAAATCAATATTTTGTGTACAGTTATTTAATTGAGTTTTAATATTTTATTAGCTCACCAAACGTAAAACTTCCATGAAGAAATAACGTTCCTTGCAAGCGTATAGCGCTGCTGACTTCAGTAACCCGGATGAGCCTGTTATCTGTTTTCAGCGGTTGTTATCGGGGAATAACATACCGCTGGATGGTGCGATTGACCAGTCAGAATCAAGTATTCCACAGAGCTGTGTAATATCTATTAATCTTACTGACCCCAAACTTTTGAACGGTAGTGTATAATCAATGAGTAGTTTGAATAGCACTGCTACACACAAAAAGCACCTTTAACAATGGAAGACAACAAAAAAGAAAATATGTATGTGTGTGGTTTATTTTATATATATATATATATATATAGACCCATTTGAGTACAACTATTTACATGTCTGGCATTTTTCCTTTTTCTGTTGTAGTAGAAACCCAGTGTCCACTGTGGAGGTCCTGAGCCCTTCTCCTCAGACTGTCACTAACCCTCCTGATATGTCTGGATGGAACCCATTTGGAGAAGACAATTTCTCCAAACTCACAGAAGAAGAGCTTCTCGATCGAGAGTTTGACCTTCTAAGAGCAAGCAAGTGTCTCTGTGTGTCTTTTTGTAGATCATGACGAGCATTTTAAATGTCACAGTGGCTTTCAATGCAGTTCTCTCCATCTCCCTTTCTATTAGTCCGTTTTAGAATTGCATCCATACATCTATCCTCTTCTAGTATTCTACACCCTCTCCAGCAGAGGGCATACACATCCTGCTTTATTGCTACATTAACACTTTCTGTGTGTCTGCTACCGTTGTTCCCCACAGAAAAGCCAGTAGAGCGATCTGTCAGCATGGAGGCCAGCAGCATAGACAGACAGCAGCCGGTACTGCAGCCCTCACTCCCTGAGGATCCATTTGGCTCTGTGCCCTTCCTGGCCAACGCAGGCAAGTTCTAGCAGCCGGCTCAAAAAGGACCCTCACCAAAGTTCCCTGTTTAACGTCGTCCTCCTCTTCTCTCCTCATATCTGTGCTCCCCTATTCCTGCTCTTCCCGAACCTCTTTCTGTCTCTCTGCTCGCTGGATGTGGCGCCTCTACACCACATATCACTGTCACATCTGGAGTCGGGAGACAAACCGAATCAATGTTACCATTTATTCCTTTAACCACTTTAAATATATACATATAGACACTTCTTACAAGCTTGTCATTTCAACAAACTTAGAAAACTGTTTTTGATTCTATTTCTCACTGTTCATAAAATAAGAATTTAATTAGACACTATATATCTGGTACATGCATAGATTTAGATATTCTATATAGATAAGGCAGGCTGGAAATTATTAGTAGTAAAATGCAAGCATAGAAATAGAGAGAATTTTCAGATTATAAAATGCAAATTATACATTTGAAACTATAAGAGATAACAAATATAGACTCGCATGATACGCTGGTTTAAGTGTTTGTTCTTCTAGGGATTTATTTATACTTCACAAAACCACAGCTTTATGCTTGTTGCTGATGCCATGTATTGTTTTTTTTCTTTTATTATTTGTAGTTTTTTTTTTTTTAAGCTTTAACTTTTGTTTGCATCTGCATCTTTTTTTTAAATCATTTTAATAGATTTAGTTTTAATAGTTTGGGCTAACTCTTATATAGTGGTGCAGTTTTACTACAGTATGTATGTGCAAGTCTAATCTTATTATCAGTGTGGATTGTACTCTAGACTTTATTTGCTTTGTCACTTTAGATTTTTTTCTCTCTCAGGACCCACATTTTTATGTTAATATTTTTATATTGAACGGAGCAGAGAAAGGTGGTTTTCCTTTAGTTAGGAAAAGACAATATATGAGTTTAAGGGAAATTTCTTTTTCTTTTTTTCCCCAATATTTTGGCATTTAGGCATCAGCTTGGCATGATAGAATAGATTTTCAGATTCTTGAGCAACCTAATTTTCCACTTACTAGAATTTTTTTTTTTTTTTTTAAGATCAGTTAGCTACATTATGTGCTTGATAGCAAGTTGTTGATGGCAACTAACAGTGAGTGCCAAAAGTTCTCAGGTACAATTTCTATGGACCTCAGACCATAGAAAATTTCCAGCTATCCTCATATTCACTTTGTTTACTTGTAAAAATGCCAATTTTTCATGGATTTGAACACAAGTCTCTCTCTTCCAGTGTTAAGAGTTGGCTTTAAATTCCTCATTGAGACTTATTTTTCCTTTCTGTAATTTACTGTGAAGATACTTTAAGTTGCCAATTTAGGGAACATTGGCAGGTTAACTTGAGGGAGGTTAGCCGAATAATCAGAAACTGTTGCATCTAAGAGTTGGCAGCCCTTTTTTTCCATTCTTTTGCATAATGTGATGTCTTATTATTATGTAGCCTATGCTAGAACTCTTTTCTGGTCACAGATGATTTTTTGAAAACGCTATGTCTAATAATGTATGAGCCTTTTTACATGTTAGCACTGGTAACCACACCACAGACATATCACATGCCATTTGTTGCTGTCTCACTCATGTTGGCAGCATTGAGCCTTAATTAATGGCAAATGTCACATGTATTCCTTGTCAGCACATATTGGTACTTTTTCAATGCATTTAGTAATAGTTTACATAAGGGCTTACCATAATGTTTACTGAACCTTTGTTTTCCCTAAGGTAAGTTGACCATAAAGTTTAGCGAATCTGTGTGCTGGATTCCTAATTTGATGTTCTCATTCATCTCATCACCCACTCAAGTTACTTTGCTTTATCACACATTTTTGGTAACATTTTTTTTTTGTGTGTGTGTGGTTTTTTTTTTCAAGTTTAATGTGTTGTTACCATTTTGTCTTAGATAAAGACAGCCATTTTCAGAGACATCTTGATTGAGTGGGATAATGGTGGACAGTACTTGTGAACTTGTATTAAAAGTATTGAGCCATATTGTAAACAATTGAGCGAGTGTAAGCAGAACATCTGTTGAGAATTAATAAAAGCCACTTGCATATTGGAGTTGTAGGATACTGTTGTTTTTAGTACTTCTTATTAGTTTCGTTGACGCTAATACAAAAAGTTTCTCCTATAACAGCTTTCAATTCATGCCTTATGTTGCCCCAGATATCATGGTACAGGTGTCCGAGCTGTGTAACACACTGTTTGTTTTCTTGCATTATGTTCCTGTAGATGACTAAAGTTCATAGCCCCACCATTCCTCAGTGACCTCTCATCTGTACATACTTGCATACATACAGCATCAGTTGCATAAGCTGTTAATGTTCAGTTGACAAACTGATGTAAATACTCATGTATCATAATGTATGTTTCTTTATACAATGCTAATTATAAATAAAGCTTATTTAAAAGCAATGCTATATTTGTTGATTTTTGTTATAGAAGCTCATATCAGGAGCATTTGACTAATGCTTTGAGTTTAAGAAGTTCTGATGTCTTCCACCTTTATACCACTAGAGCAAGATGTTCCTCCTATTATATAATAGCATGGCTGTCTTTATTCTAAACTGAATAACATTGATCTATTTCATTTTTTACTTATGAAAAAGGTCTTAACATTACCCTTTTCCAATTAAAATTTGATATATAAGGGATAAAGACTGCTACTCACTTAATGAAGTGACTTCAACATGCCTTTTCACTGATCTCTTTTTTTTGGGGGGTCAACAGTATCTCCAGCAAATCATCAATTGTAATGCTAACATTAAATGTACATTAATATAAATGATATATAATTTAAAGTCCCCTCTAGTCAATAATTATATCCCTTAAAACTCATCTTTGATCATCAAAATGACACATTTAAATGTTTTTTCTTGTGAAAAAAGTGTTAATTCCTTAAAATAGATTGAATCTAACTACACCCTTGCTTCATTTAGTATGCGCGTTTCATTAATATGCAAATGAGCCCCGCCTCCACTCACTCATACAGGCTCATCTACAAATCGATGTATCAGAATGGTAATGCGTTTTATTTATCGTTCTCTACAACGTGTACAGTGCACATAACTGTAATTAATATGATTCGCTTTTGGCTTGACTACGTTATCAAACAGCTAATAATGTGTTGTTAATGTTACACAAACCATGTTCCTGTTCGCCATCTCAGTCTGCCTTCTAAAAATCAGCATCCTTACAAATGCTTTGAACAACTTAGAACGTCAGTGGAGAAAGGCATATAGTTCATCATATATTCATATCAACAGAAAAATATACCGGGATAACCTTGCTTCTCTTGAGATGATAAAGCCTGCCCACACGTTGACGTGAATGGTTACAAGGTAGTTTCTGACGTAAGAAACGCCAGCGATTTCAAACCGCGTTTTTGAGACTGTCTTTTTCCCACTGCAGTTTTAAAAATGAAAATACTTAGTAATGGTGTTGACATGAATTTGCACATGTTTTGTCTTAAAGCATATTAAAAACACCACATAGACATATAAATAACATTAAAAACTAGATTTTTACCACAGGGGGTCTTTAATATAAAATGTGTTCAGAACATGTAAAACACTCCCTTGGACTTCTTAAATAATGAATCTATTGCAAGACTTCACAACCCCCCATTTAACACGGTAAAACAAAGCTTGCATGCACTGGAGCCTTTTTGGAACAATGGTTGAATGGGACCCTATTGGAGTAGGCTACCTCGTTTTAAATTTGATTTTGAAAACATTCTCAAGTCTAATATATGCTAAACGTATGATTACGTTTAAGACCAATTATGTGCTGTGGCTGTCCTGTTGATTTGTAAGCTTTATCCCTTAAATCTTGATTAAGCAGTTAACTGGTCATCGGTGGGGGGAACATTAAAATGCCTCTTGAACAATAGAATAAACAATCTCTTTATGAACTCAATTCAGATATTGTGATTGCCTGGTAAAGTTGCATGTACAACAGAGGCAGTTGGACATAATGAAGTATAAGAGACAATGAACTGTTGAAGCATATCCGACTGTGTCTGCAAATCGTTTGCATATATTGTGAAGACAAAAAGACAATCAGCTTAGCATCTGCTGAGCTGGATGAAGGGAGGTCTGGGTAATCCACTGGATGGATATGTGGCTTTCATATGACATTTCCATTATGTTCCTGATTCAAGCAAAGCAGGGAGAGGTCTGGACATCCACATGCTTAGATATTACTTGCTCTGGCCGTTTTTACTCGAGCTGTCATCAGCGTGTAATCGCATGGGCCTGGAAAAGAACACTCAATATTCTTCTTCTGGTTACGATCTTCTTATATGATTAAGGATGTTCCATTATGCTGTGCCGTGGATTGTTGTATTCCAGGAGGTAGGGGTGATTAGATGAGTTGTAATCCGGACAGCCTAAACAGTCTGCTTGTATATATTTTTTTTCTTCTAAGCTTCAGATTTCTTCGAAAATCACCACAGTTTTTTTTCCTCCCATGCTGTTCTTGTGCTTCTCTTTACCCCTTCCCCCAGCCACTAGTAACTATAATAATTGTAGTAGTAGTTGTTATTGTTATTTAATTAGTTATTTAACCGATTTATTTATATATTTCTGGACTTCATCATATACATAGAACTGGGTTTGGCTAATTCTGTGTCTTGCTCTGCCAGTTTGGATGGATTTGATGATAACAGATCCACAGCTCTGCCTGCTAAGCAGGGGGAGGATGGCAATGCCTAAGCATGTTGAGAAATTCAGTCTTTTGAAATTAGACAAATATCTCAATAATTATACATGTTGACAAATATTGTGATATGCTGTAGTAAGATATACCAGCTTAAACTAATTACACGAGGAACAAGTAATAAATAGTCCATTTTAGTTTCAATGTTTTTTTATTTAATAAGAATCCAAAAATGTCTTTTGCACAATTTCCAAAATCTTTGCCTGAGGGTAATTTATCTTTGGAGCACTGAACACTGCGTCAGGCGAGACTGCAGTAGAAATACAGATTTGTGATTTAAATGTAATAGTTTTTCAACTCCATTTTTAAATAAAAATAGCTGAAATTTGCTTTGTCCTAAAATTTGTAATTGTAAAATGACTTCATACACAAATGATACAAAACATAAGAATACAATTACAATGATGTCTCTTGTTTTGTTTTTGTTTTTTGGACAGGGTTAATATAGTTTAGAATACATTTTTTGTTCGTCTTTTCAATTTGCTATTAGTTCTCATTATTTTTCCTTATATCATTGTCAGTTTAAAGTCTTCTAGTTTCACTTTTTAAAATGTTTGTATTTTTTAGAGCTGTCAAATTTAATGCACTGGTTTAGTGTTATTGCTATCTAGTGGCATGTTTATTATATTGTGTAAAGATTTCCAGTTTTGTAATATACATTACCATTTTGGGAGTTATGAAAATGTATATTTCAGTTTTACCAGTTACTTTTCAGTTTTCAATGAAAATTTGTCTCTTAGTGTCAGCTTTTAACAAAAAAAAACACTTTTTTCAACCATTTCATTTACTGTTATATGTAAACCTTCTGTTGTAGGCTTGTAGGTCTCTTTCTTTTAGAAGCTCTGTGATTTTATGTGACGCTTCTCTGTAAGGGTGCAATAAAGTATGTGCATTTTCTATGTGAGAACTACAGTATAGGCTGAGAGCATATTAAATGTACATGCTGTGTACATTAGACATTCACTCTCAACTTTGTGTGTTCATTTAGCAGGAGCTGGTGTGCTGACAGCGGAGCATCCAGTTGAGAAGCCCAGTGTTGCTGTGGCTGTTCCAGCCATGCAAGACGCAACCCTGCCATCTGTCAAGGAACACAAAACGACAAAAAAAAGTAGCACCACTAGTTCACTGCCTCAGAAAGCAGGTGAGGAATCGGACAGTGATTTTGAGTCCGACCCGCCCTCTCCCAAAAGTAGCGAAGACGAGGAGGTGGAAGAGGAGGAAGGTCTCAACAGCGAACACGAAGACACCGAACCTGAGAACCTGGGTCAGAGGCCGTTGCTCATGGACTCTGAGGAAGAGGAAGACAAACACAGCTCAGACTCAGATTGTGAGTCTAGGACAGCGAAACTTGGGCCGTCGGAGGAGAAGGCTGTGGTTTTTCCTCCGGGAACTGTGAAAGCTGAATCTGGAGCCAGTGTGATCACCCCTCCCAATTCGCCAAGTGTCGCCATACCTGCCACGAGCATTGTGGATGTGTTTGGTGCTGTTCCTTTTGTTGGCAGTGGTCAGCCCAGAGTGTCACCAGAGAACGTAGATATTTTTGCCAAAGCCCCTTTTAGGCAGGTGAGCCAGGAGAACGCTGCGGAAGATATTGACGTATTCACCAAAGCTCCTTTCAACAGAAACCTATCCAGGTCCAGCAGGAGTGGCGATGGACCCAGCGGCCAGACGCCACCCATTTCCCCAGACGGCGTGGATGTATTCGGATTCTCGCCTTTCCAGCCCGGCCAAGAAATACCTACCTCCGGTAACCAGGAGGACGTTTTTGGCCAAACACTTTTCGATGAAGCATCTAGTCCCCAACAGAGGCAGAAGCAGCGCAGCCTTCAAAAACTCTCCTCACGTCAGAGGCGCACCAAGCAAGAGGCCAGTGGCAGCAATGGGAAGCGACACCACGGCACACCCACTGGCGGCAGGAAGAGCAACAAGCCCAGTTTCCGTACCCCCGAGCGGGTGCGAAGGCACAAGAAGGTAGGCAGACGGGACTCGCAGAGCAGCAACGAGTTCCTCAGCGCGTCAGACTCCAAAGAGAACATCAGTATTTCCCTGGGTGAGGTGATAGAAAAAGGAGCTGCGCTGCCCCCAGAGGAGGTCTTGTTGGATCCGTTTGGAGCCAAGCCTTTTCATCCGCAAGATGGCAGTCGACACCAGAGCTTGGGAGACAGCAAAAGTGAGATGAACTCCACCATTGGCAGGCAGAGGACCAGCTCCCTGCACAGTGTGTTTGATGGAAATAAGATCGATGACTTTGGAGCTGTACCTTTCACAGAAATGGTGGTCCAAAGCGGAGCTCCGCAAACCCCACAAATGGATCTCGACCCTTTCGGAGCAGCACCTTTCCCCTCAAAGCAGTGAATGTCTTGTCTTCCGGTACACACACACACACACAGAGAGAGAGAGAGAGAGAGAGAAATGATACACACACTGCTATATTATGCAAAGTCCTAGCAGCCTTTGAAATGTCTTTAATGGATGGCAGCTTTGTGCTGTGATCTCTATGTATGTGCAGCCCATTTGGACGCAGGCCTTTAAATTAGATAACATTCAACTTTTGTAGTTTTTCAAGAGTTTTAATACCATTATAACACCTCTTTTACTTTTTGGGGTCTTAAACCTGTGGTTTATTGATGATTCTTTAGCCTTTACGTGCTAGAAAGCCTTCTATGCTGCATTACAATAAGCGCTCTGAGCTCAGTAAAATAAAAGAAAAAAAAACATTGGAGATGGGTGTATAATCCTTCTTTTGAATAGGATTAAGAGAAAAATTGCCAGTTTAGTACAGCATTCTGATTAAGTTTGTACTCCATTGTTGACCACTGAATTGGTAAAACGTCAATCTACCAACATGAACACCATGAAGCCTTATCTGGGTATTCCCCGCCCTGCTTAACAGTACCTCAAATACACAATGGCTGTAGCCTGTTTGTGTCAATGGAATAATCTGAGTGTAGGCATTCTCCATTTTAAAGTATTTCACATAAACAATTTTATGTTTTTTTTTTAAAGTGCATTCACTGTTTTAAATTCTTGACAATGTCCTGTGTCTACATACAGTTAAGGGGACTTAATAGTATTTTCCCTTTTTTATAAATTGACCATACCAGAGAAGTTGCAGTTTATTGGACAATATTGTTTTAACTGTTTGTATTAATTATGCTTTTGTGGAAATAATTCCCCAAGCTAAACCTAACAGCTTTGGTTATCAATAATCATATGTTCCACTACGTCTGTATGTACTTACCGGTAACCTACAATCATGAACAATTAGAGCTCTCATAGAAAGGGAAAAGAATGGGCTAAAAGCAGTTTCATGTATTTATATACCAGTCATTTGTTTGAAGCAAATTTTAAAATTCAATTTTAGTCACCAAAGGTATGACGCATGAAGGGTATCACAATTTAACTGAATTTAAAAGGGCCATTTAGATACATTTATAATGTTACTGAATGTCTGCAGTTGGAACATTTCAAGACCAAAACAGCATTTTATTTGCAAACAATGCAAGATTTGTTATTGTTTTTCTTACATAGTACTACACTCTAACAATGCAATAAAAGCTTCTTTTGGAGATCATGAGTCCATGTGTTGTTTTCTAACTAAGACAATGTCATTAAAATAATTGTCATTACAACTTCAGTTGAAAAAAAAAACAAAGTGAAAGTTTATTCAGCTGTACTGTAGAAATGCATATCCCAACATATTACCAATGTGGTAAAAATAAGTTAAAAGTGTTACATTGTGCAGCGTCATGAAAAACACCACGTCACCCTACCATTAAGCACTGAAGACACATTGTTCTATGGTTTAAAAAACATACAATTGCATGGCTGTACATTGTTCACTGTTGTAAGGCAGAACATGTACTGAAACCATGTAACTATTTTAATTACAGTCCTAACTTAGGGACTTGATCAACAGATTACAAACCACTGAAATGCTATATACAGAGTAGTGGTAAATGCATTAATTGCATGAGAGAATTTTTTAATTAGTAATGATAAACTAAACAAAAGTTAAATAAAAAGTCATTAGCCTACATCAATACAAATAATCCTGATGCATGTATTTACAACATGGCAATGCTGTGCGGCACTCTGCAAAATGTAATTTTCACCATTTTAAGACCTTTGCTTATTTCAATATGGAACAAATCTCTTTGGTTTATTCAATGTTGTAAACAAGACTAAATAAAGTCTCATTTAGACTAATGTTGTATACATTAATTAAAAAATTCACACAAACTCAAAAACAAATAAAAATGTGGAATTATTAAGCTTGTGAATCGTTGAATTTTAGGTTCAAATACAAACAGCAAACAACAAATACTATTGAGCAGACACAATACTGAATGCTTTGCCCCACAGAACTCAAGAAGTACATTTGTAGATGTAGAAGCCCACGCATGCAGATGCTGTAAAATGGTGCTTCACCTTGATTTTTGAAAGTGCTTTTAAAAGCCTAACACTGCTTACCTTAATCAAGTGCCTATTTATTTCTATTTAGACTGACACATCTAGGCACTTAAACAAAATGTATAAAAAGTGTCAAAATAGCTCACAATGAAAAATAAAAATCCATACACCACACACTCATATTTAATAAACACTGAATGTGTTCAAGCTTAAAGATCGTTTAAAATACAGCCGTCTTCAGCCATGTTCCTCCGATCCCACATTCCACTAGGAATGAAGATGGTAGTCTGGGCAAGGGTGAGAGTGACGGTAGCTGGTTATGAAAAGTGCAGACTTATGCCACCAGTAGAACATGAGCACCACCAGTATGTGCCAGACCTGATGGCTGGAGCCCAAGTAGTTCAGCTGACCTAGAGATTACAAAAAGAGCATCAAACCATTAATTAACTTGTCTGAGGTTGGTTCTCGCTTAAGCCAGGTGTGGTCCTTTGGTTTAGTCCATCACAACTTCTTTCTTTTACAGTATCACATTTGACAAGTGAGACGCAGCCCTGCTTTCATGAAAGCTGAAAAAATTAGAAATATGAAATTTAACAGTACCTGGAAAATAACGCTCTGGAACTTTGGACATGTAGAAGATGATAGCAGCTACAGCAAGCACATACATTATCAGCACTCTGGGAATAAATTCCTAAAAAAAATTGAAAATTTTTTGGTAGGTTTGTATATATATGGTAAAAAAGTCTGGCAAACATACATTTAATAATTATTATTATAGCTGTTATACATAAATGAATAATATTTTGTTTTTAAATTGGGAAATGATCTATACATTTTATAATAATATTAACATTTGTATAGTCTACATTATTATCAACATAAATTACTGGCATATATAAAAAAAAACCTGATGTGAGGACTCTTACCTGGACTATGTCTGAGCTGAAACCCCCACTGAGCCAGATCCAATGAAAGGTAGGGATTAGGCCGTATCCCGCTACAGCACAGAATATAACAGAGCGAAGCTTCTGCCACTTCTTGGTCAAGTAATGAGGGTGTATCTGGGCAAAGAACACTGCCAGCATCATGGCCAGAACGGTTACCAGGTACACCTGCCGCCAGTACTGCAGATAGAGATACAAACCAGACAAAACATGAACCGAAAACTCACGAAAGTCATCTTAATGTGCACAACACGCACAGAAAAAAAATCACTTCTTCTGTAGGGGAAAAAAACAGTGCAAAAAAAAAAAGCAATGGAGAAATCGGTCTCTCTTTCTCTTGGGGCGCTTGGCTGATTGAGTAGTCATCCAAAAAGCAAAGCTAAACACTTGGCAGGGGGAGAGTGGAGATGGCTCACCCACGTGTGAATGTCATATGGTGGGGAACAGGAGTGACGGAGTGGGTCCACGAACACGGCCATCTGCTTTGGGCTGGAGCAGATTTCTGCCGCATTCTGGGGCACAATAAGCCAGCACTTCCAATATGTGGGGAGAACCATGTGGAGCAGCGTGGCCAAAAGCGCTGGTGCTCGGCAAACAGCAAGTGGGAGTAGAGGGGACGAGAGCAATCAGCTTGCTCAGGATATCCAAGATCCAAGCTTTCAGAAAACTGCACCAAAATCTTGAAACAAAGAAGATTTCACGCCAAGCGGCACCTCGTCGTTTTTATACAGGCAGTACAAAGCCGCTCCACAGGGGGTCCATTGTGCAAACTAACAGGAAGGGAGGAATAAACTATCATACAACATAATCAAAGATACTCTACCACAGTGTTACAGTAATCTCACGGGAAAAGTCAACATGCGACAGTGTGCACTTCCAACTTTCCTATTAAATCGTTCATACTATTCCTCGTTTTTAAAGGAATAGTTAATTTACTCGCCCTCATGTTGTTCCAAATCTATCTGACTCTCTTCTGTGGAACACAAAAGAAGATATTTTGAAAAATGTTTTTGTTTGTATAATAAAAGTCAGTGGGGTCCGATGTTGTTTGAATTCCAATCTTCTTTAAAATATCTTCTTTTGAAGAAAAGAGAAAGTCATATGTTTAGAACGGCATGAAGGTGAGTAAATGATGACAAGGGTCCTTTTCGGGTGAGTGACTCTTTTCAGTCACTTTGTATAAAAGCATCTGCTAAAGGAATAAATGTTAATGTGAACTCCAATAGAATAATGGTCTTTACTAAACACATATAAACAGTCTCTCCATGTAGTATTCACAACGCACACACACACACCAGACTGTTTTCCCCAGGAATAGGTGAACTCTTGCTCTGTATCTGTTGCACAGGTAACATATGCCCACAAAAAAAGCAGGCCAACCATCTGCTAGAGACCACAGTGGGACGATGCACCTCAAGCCACCTAATTAATCTACCCTTGTCCACATTGGCCATGACCGTCGATCGCACAGTGTAAAGACTCTCCATGCCATTCTTATGGAACCCTATGTGTCCTACTTGGATCCGACTCCACCAATAAACACTTATTACTTCATTTATGAAGTTATGGGAAGCGTACCTCCAGTGCCACCTTCACCAATGGTTTAGTTCACTTCAGTACACTTTATTTTGCCCAAAGGGAAATTTGTCTTGACTAATGGCACTAACATACACACTGACCAATGACCATACACATTACACAATACACACACAACGGCTAGAACACAATGACTTTTTCATCAGTAAGCGGGCAACAGAATCACAAGCCTATAGCATTATTAGACAACGCAAAAATACATCCTAAAAAATTCTATTACACTCACTTATTTAGTATTCTGACTGAGGTAGGTATAAAGGATACCTACTTAATTTTCCGCGTTCCTATACTTTGGACTTTCAACTGATTGTACCTGCACACAGGTAACCTACACTCACCTAAAGGATTAGTAGGAACACCATACTAATACTGTGTTTGACCCCCTTTCGCCTTCAGAACTGCCTTAATTCTACGTGGCAAAGGTGCTGAAAGCATTCTTTAGAAATGTTGGCCCATATTGATAGGATAGCATCTTGCAGTTGATGGAGATTTGTGGGATGCACATCCAGGGCACGAAGCTCCCGTTCCACCACATCCCAAATATGCTCTATTGGGTTGAGATCTGGTGACTGTGGGGGCCATTTTAGTACAGTGAACTCATTGTCATGTTCAAGAAACCAATTTGAAATGATTCGAGCTTTGTGACATGGTGCATTATCCTGCTGGAAGTAGCCATCAGAGGATGGGTACATGGTGGCCATAAAGGGATGGACATGGTCAGAAACAATGCTCAGGTAGGCCATGGCATTTAAATGATGCCCAATTGGCACTAAGGGGCCTAAAGTGTGCCAAGAAAACATCCCCCACACCATTACACCACCACCACCAGCCTGCACAGTGGTAACAAGGCATGATGGATCCATGTTCTCATTCTGTTTACGCCAAATTCTGACTCTACCATCTGAATGTCTCCAAAGAAATCGAGACTGATCAGACCAGGCAACATTTTTCCAGTCTTCAACTGTCCAATTTTGGTGAGCTCTTGCAAATTGTAGCCTCTTTTTCCTATTTGTAGTGGAGATGAGTGGTACCCCGTGGGCTCTTCTGCTGTTGTAGCCCATCCGCCTCAAGATTGTGCGTGTTGTGGCTTCACAAATGCTTTGCTGCATACCTTGGTTGTAATGAGTGGTTATTTCAGTCAAAGTTGCTCTTCTATCAGCTTGAATCAATCGGCCCATTCTCCTCTGACCTCTAGCATCAACAAGGCATTTTCGCCCACAGGACTGCCGCATACGGGATGTTTTTCCCTTTTCACACCATTCTGAAATAGTTGTGTGTGAAAATCCCAGTAACTGAGCAGATTGTGAAATACTCAGACCGGCCCGTCTGGCACCAAAAACCATGCCACGCTCAAAATTGCTTAAATCACCTTTCTTTCCCATTCTGACATTCAGTTTGGAGTTCAGGAGATTGTCTTGACCAGGACCACAACATTGAAGCAACTGCCATGTGATTGGTTGACTAGATAATTGCATTAATGAGAAATTGAACAGGTGTTCCTAATAATCCTTTAGGTGAGTGTATATTGTTTACCAGAGGGCAATTATGGGAATGATCAGATAACATTTGACTGGAGCAGCGGCCCCTGCACGTACGTTATTGCAGTAGAATGCATAGAACACTCCTGGAATGTAACAGCCTATGATTCCGATAGAGATCCCGGCGTAGTCAAGTGCCATCCATCGGCGGCTGTTTTTTTCGGATCGGTGGCAGCAGAATAGGTGAAAGCCCACAGAACACAGCATGCACACCTAGGCAGAAGATGTGAAGTGTTCAGATACAGATGATTTTATAGGCCATATATGCAGATTGATATATGCAAAGTTTTCACAATACAAAAGCTCAAACTCACATGATGAACCCATACAGCCAAACAAAGATGCTATTTATGTCTTCATGAGAGAATATGCAAGGGTGGTGTAGAGGCACTTTGCCTAATCCTGATGCTTTAGAGAATAGTTGCCAAGGATAGAATCTGCCATTTCTGTCTATTACGATGGTACGAGAGCAGCCGATAACGGATCTAGAATTAGGCGGGACTGAGTTTAGGTGATAAAATCATAAGTTTTAACTCTAATCCCTGGCAACAGTGAATGTGGAAAGCCTGGTCCAAGGATCATATGAAGACTTTTTGATTGAGAGTGCTGATCTAAGATCAGTTTTTATTGAAAAGGATGGAGCTGATCCAAACAAGCAACCATGGTTAGAGATAATTTGTTTGTCATGCCAAAAAACAGAAACACTTTATCCACTGCTAACTACTGTTTTAACTATTCAAGTTTATACAGAGACTTAAATTCACCTCTGAACTGCTTAGGTTTTTTTCTCCTTTTGAATTAGCCTACCTAAACATGATATTGTGATGGCATGATGCAAGCAGCATGGTCATACCTGGAAGCAGAACAGACCTATGGAGTAGATGACATAGTCTTCTCTGGAAGCTCCTAACATCGGCAACACCGCCAACAAGTCATAAACTCCCAGCGTGAAGAACAGGAAGAACCCCAACAGATGACTCCAGATGTTTACCGTCTCATTGGACAGAACGAAAAGGCTACAAAACAGAGATAACAGGCGTCTATATCACCATTTCTTCCAAGAGCTAAGGTCATGTTATTCTCTCAAGAGGTTGAGCAATGCATCTATATTACATAATTAAAATTACGCAAAAATATTGCTATTGAAAAAACACACTCTGCATAAATACACAGTGGTTAAATATAAGACACGCACCTTTTAATGCACAGTCTAGAGGTCAGATAGGCTCTGTAGCCATCAGTGATATAAGGATTTTCCCGTAGGAATCCCGGCACCTGCTCGTAAGTGTACAGGCGGATTCCTCTGGGCACCAGAACAGGCCAGTACTGGTAACTGCCCAATTCAATGTACTGGGCATTCTTCAGCACCTTCGCTGACGGCATGATGATAATGTCACCCAGTCTCAACCTCAAAGTCCTACAGACACACAACATTTAATGGATATGTTTCCATAAATATCTGACAATGTTGACAAAAAGTGGACAGCTGTGTAGTGGAATTGTATAAAATATCATAGTTTTAATTGCCCTCCTCTAGTAGCATTTCATTATTTATTTCATGAAGTATTGAGCTATGATCTGAGGGCAGACGGTTTTTAGGGGTAGTGAATGATAATGTAATGCCATAATATCAGTGTTGTTATTGTTAACTAAGATTATTAAAAATGGTTTTCATTAATTGAAATAAAGCCAAATATATATAAATTAGATAAAATCAACTTAGAAATGCTGCCTTGGCAACTAACTGAAATAAAATAAGCTGAAGTACTAAAATTAACCGAAAAATAAAACTAAAATTTAAATAGAGCTATAAAATAAAATAAAATAAAAAAATAAAAAATGACAAAACAAAAGTACTAAAATCAAATGTAAACAATAGAAACTCAAAATATATAAAATTGAACAATTCAAAATATTTTCTAAATACATAAAATATAAAAGTATATAATACTAAAATAACACTGCACGACACATAAAATGTGATGGAACAGTAAATTTGTGTAAAGAAAGAACATTAATGATTTATTTCTGAATCATTTAAAAGTAAATATTTTAAAAGGCAATAGAAGGACAAATTGTGGGGGTTTGTCCTGTGCGAGTACTGCTCGTGTTCATGGATACTGTTTGAAAAACAAAGCATCAGGGCTGTATGCATAAAATACAAATTTCACACCTTATTTAGAACGAAAACTATGGTGAAATAACATGAATAGAAGCAAATTGAGCTGCAGAAACAGACGTCACTGTCCCTGTCCAACAAGTATAAACCTACTGAGCAATCAAACTATTTATTTAAATAAAATCAATACTAGCCATAATTACCTTTATCACTAAATTAGCTATCAAATTCACAGTAGCCTACTGTCTAAATGGATAAACGGCTACATGCTAATCACATAGCTGTATAACGTTAGTGGGTTTATTTCAGAAACGGATTAAAGTGTTCACTTAATCCTGAACTTACCATTGATCAGATAAATATCTGCATCGAAGAATCCGCGTTTGTAAGGCTCATGGGTAACATTAATATCCAATGTTCAGACTCATGTTAGCCCGGTGAGAGCAGCAGGAAGTTGTACTGTCTGTTACTAGCTGCTAACAGGCTAATAAAGAGATTATTTCATGTCACATGTAACCTCAGGCATAAATCCGTCTTCTATCCAATGACTATTTACCAATGATCTCACATTCAATATAATAACATTTTATAATAATTTACATTTTAATAAAATTGTAAAAATTTTATATTTGACCTTACAATCTAAGAAAGCTTGTCACACTCTTTGTTCTGTTGATCAATTCTCTATGAATTGAATTGTCTTTTCTGAAATGATTCCTTCCTGCTGAATGTTTATTGGAAGTGTTTATCCACTGAAAATACCAGCCACAAAATAGCATTCATATTTCATCGACTGAATTGAGACCTGTAGGTGGCAGACTGCTGTCAACACGTTTTGAAGAAGACTTTCTCTTTTCATACATCTCAGGTGTAATCTTGTGTGATACTCCTCTGGGGCTAGAATCACACTAAATCTTCCCTCAGCTATTACACCCAAGATAATTACCTCCTCAAGTGGGAGTGTGTTCTTCATTAGCACTCCTAATTCACCTTTCAGCACTTCACTCTTAAAGGTTGTCAACAGCACTGCCAAGACAATTTGCCTGACTGCAGCAAATCCACCATGTCAGCAATAGAGCATTATTTCCACTTAGTTTTGTCATGGCCTTTTTATGTAATAATTATGATTTTTTTGTGTGTGTCAGAATTACAACTTAGGTCATAATTTTGACTTTTTTGGTGTTGTAATTATGAATTTCTTAGTCATAATTTCGACTATGTCATCATTTCTTCTTTTTATGTCAAGTCATAATTTCACATTTACCCCCGGCCCTTGTCTGTGAGAAAAAAATGTCCCAGACTAAAATGCATGTTTGAATTGTTTTAACTAAAAGCAACTTGCACGAACATATTTTAAGATATTGTTTTGTTTTGTTTCGTTTTGTCTTTTTTTCTAAGGCACGTTTATTAAAGCTACTTTATTTGAACTAAAGCCTAATCCTGGCTTAATCTAAGCCCTGTCTGTGAAACTCAAAACTTCATCTCATAACTACAATTTGGTCTTGTCTTAATTTAAACTTTCCGTCATAATTAGGATATAGCCTACAAAAGCATGATTTTTTTTTTTTATGTGGCAGAAATAGGCTTCCATACATTTGACATATCTTTTTAATTGAACCTTTTTTGGGGGAAATGGAGAAGACATTTAGAAGTGTCTGATTTGATCTAAAAAAACAGGTTGCGTATCTGTCTTGACCTTACTGACTGATTTATAATTGACTTTACTGTCACCGAGGAGACACCAAAACTCTACATACAGCTTTACCTTTTTCAACCTCTCTACGCTCAATCATTTTTCCATTACGATTCGCCCTCTCAACCTCGTTTCTTGTAGCAAGCCAGCCGCCACACACGGTTCTCCACTGGTGCCCATGATATTGCCCCCAACCAAGAGCAGGCATCAAGTCCAATAACAAGGACACAGTCATTGTTAGAAGAGGTTGGCCAAGTGTCTTGCTGAGAAACTATCCAGCGAGTAAAAGACATTGCCACCGTGACAGCGGCCTCGCTAAGGCCCGTCAGTGCTCCCCTGCTCTGATCGCTTTTATTTATAATCTCCGCCACGAGACATCTGCTGCCGCCGTGCCTCTGTCCTTGCCGTCCACACAGAGGGTGCACATCAACGTTTCCACCGCAACCTGCACCGAAGTCCAGCTCGCAGGCGGGAGACACCACACTTTGCTCCAATAGGATGTGTGTCGTGTCCGATCCCGCTCCCTGGAGACTGATTAACACGATACGGGGAACGGAGGGAGGCTTCGGGAGCACTCAGACTGATACTTACACGATCAGAGTGCCTTTGTTTGTTTGGTGTCTGTAGTCTGGTCACAAGACTATTTTGGGGAGCTGACACTTTGAGAGCGCTCTGGAGCCATCTGACGAGGCCTTTGCCGCCGGTTCCTGAACAGTGGGAAGTCAAGCAGGCCACTGCACCGGCCTTGATGCAAAATGGCACAGGCAGTTTTGTGTTTTTGAGCAAAAACAAGACCACATGCAGTTTCAAATGTCACTTGGCACGCTTTTCCTCAAAGGAATGACTAGACTAATTCAATTTTTGTAACCCCTTTTTACCTATCCTCAGATTGCACCTACTATTCACTTGCGTGAATAGTGGAAGCGAAATAGTCATAATTTCATTAAATAAAACCAAAAAGAGGCCCTTGTCTAGATCTACTAGATTTGACATGAACATAAATCTTAATTACAATGCAGTTAAATGACTAATTCTTTTAGTGCACTGACTTGCATTGTAAGTGAATATATGTGGTTGTTACCTATAAGCATCAATTGGGTTACACATTAATATGTCCGTGTTACAATGTAATTATACATTTAAATACTGAGTAATAATAATTATCTGTACTTACTATATAGGGTAAGTGTTGGTTTAGGGTTAGTTGTATGTAATTATGCCTAATTTATAGCTATTGCAATATGTAGCCTATAACCCAATGTACTCAGTCATATGAATATGACTTTATCAAAACCAGTTAATTGGCATGTTACCACATGAAATGCATTTGAACTGTATGTACTTACACTCTTTTATTGTGTTCATAATTTTTTTCCTGCTTCACAGAAGTTCAATTGAGGCAATGAGATTTTAGCTTAGTGAAAGTTCCATCTGCATAACAATATTGGGAGGAATTGAGCTTTAATATAAAGGCATCCTCTTTTTTTCACTTACAATTATCTCTTCAATAAGATGTACATCTGGCCCCAAGACTATAATTCCCCAGAGGCCAAAAGAAAGGGAAAACAATTTCCAAAATAAGCAAGAGATTAGGTCAGACAATACAATTGTTCTTCTGCATTTAGCATTTGATGGAACGAGATTAATATCTTGTGATATTAATGACTGTTTTCTGTGTGTCACTTTTTCTGTCAGCATAAAATACTCTAAATCCTCATTTATGGGGAAAATCTTAAGCCTGGCTATGGGACTCAAGCAGACATGCTAAGCTTTTTGGCACTGCGGGTACTTATTATTTGTTTGTTTTTTAACCCCTTTAACAATGCCAAATATACACTTCGTTATAAAAATTATTATTATTACATATTGCCATTACAAAGCCCTTTTTTTCTTTGATGATGTAAAATAAATAGAATATTCAGGGATTTAAAGACCAGCTGTTGAGGGGGAATTGGTTCACCAATAAAGTTCTCTTGTCTTTTTTTTTTTAATGTTTTTTTTTTACATTTATTATTAGGAATGCATTTTGAGATGGACCATGATATGATACTGAAAGAAAAAAACATCACATTATAGAACAATATGATTTTCAATCATCTTTTCTTTTCTTTTTTTTAAACGCTCCTCGACAAATGCTGAATTTTTTTGCTTAATGTACACTTTTAAATTATTAAAATGGGTATTTTACCATAAATGCCAGAATTTGCAAAGAGAATAGGCTATGTGAAATCTATTTCCTCCTGTAGATGTCACCCTGTATCTATTTTCTGCTACACAACAGTTTTTACAAAAATCAAATGCATAATCTACATTCAATGTAGGCTACTATACATTTTGTAATTGTAAAATAAATTCATGGAGAACATATACTACATTTAAGCAGTTATTAGCCTACGTTAAAAGCTAAAAGCATACAACTCTGAATGAAGTGCTGACATTAATAATTTAATATTTTAATCACTTTAAATTGAATTATTTCATACAATTTTATACAATTAAATTTACACAATACTGCTAAAACGGTGATTTAAAAAAAAAAAGTGTCTCAAAAGACATGACGGTTCTGGTGTGCCGACCTGAAGTCTAGTGATAACTGTGGATCTGT